TTTTTCTGTTTGGTATAATTTATTCTCATGTAACGCAACGACGTTGGGTAAGGTTAGGTAGGTGTATATACAGCTATTTTCGAACTGGCACATCAAAATTGCTTATCGGATGAGAATTGTGAATAAGTCAGTTTTTACTTTATTATAAAGGTATTAAGGAGGTATATCGGGTTTACTCAAATGCACAGATGTACTTGAAATTTATATAGCGTATTAGCCAGTGCTCTCTCTGTCCGTCTTATTTTTTTGACATTTTTTTAAAATCTAGATTATGAGATATTGTTGTTGAAAGTTGTTTATTTTAACATAGGTTTATATGGCGAAGATGGACGGTGCGGCTCTTTTTTGCCCATAACTGAGAAAAAAATGTAGAAATTGCGAAACAAAACTTTTCCCTAGATAGTACACAGTATTATCTTATTTTTGATGTAAAACTAATGTAAGTTTTGAATATAGTACAGCTGTATTAATTAGAAACAGAAACCAATAATTGCATTTCTGTCTGACTTGAGGATTAATGTGGCAACGTCGCAATCAGCTGACAGCAAGGAGGCAATACATTTGAAAGACTTGATAAAAACGAAATTGATTTCAAACATATACATCTTTCCTAAATCCCATGTACATTGTTATCAACAATAAATTATCCACAACAGATGATTTTATATGTTTTTAAAAAACTAGATTAATTAAAAAAGACTAGGAAGCTGTGATATATTTATTGGAATAAAAAATACAGTTGATAAATCCTTTTATTATATTTAATGGTTTATAAAAACATCGTAATCATTACCCAGCAATATTTAGGGTTACATAAAGTTTTCTTTACTTGATTAATATAATTAGTATTACTTGAGATAAAAGCATTTGTACGGAATAACAAAGGAATATAAATATTTCTCAGCAAATTTTATATCTAAAAAATAGGTTATAGTTGCAAAACTTTTGTAACATTACTAAAATAGAGATTAAAAACACGAACAGTTAGTAATAATGTAATTTCTAACACAGAACCTTCAAAATTGCATCCAACATTTTCTTTGACATGGACGAGAGATGAGCGCGAGTGTCATTTCATTTCTTTAGAACTAAATTAACATAATTCTCGTTGTTTTACCAGTTTACATGATTTACGGATTTTAAATAAAGGATACAAATCTTCGCGAAGATAATACGATATATTTGCTATACAGTGTAGGAAAGTACCGATGGTCTATCAGAAGTTACGTGAGAGCGATAAAGTAAGCCATAGAAATCCATGTGATAGACAAGGATGGCTATAATGAAGGCGTCTAATAGTCAACGCCCATTTCGCCCTTCCACAAATAAGAAGTGGATCTTATTTGTGGAAGGGCGAAACGGGCGGTGACTATGAGACGCCTTCATTATAGCCATCCTTCTCTATCGCATGGATTTCTATGGCTTACTTTATCGCTCTCACGTAACTTCAGATAGACCATCGGTACTTTCCTACCCTGTATATAATAATTATATTGTACATAGTTTACACACAATACATTTTTGAACGCGTACGCATCTTTACCCGAATTTGACGCGCAATATCTCCAATGTCCGAGGTCTGTAGTAGATTCACAGTGTGTACAATTGATAGTCAATTATTAGCGCTGTTGCCACATCTACATAGTCTTTATGCGTTCATTAAATATAATTTAAAACTACTTAAATATGATATTTTTATGTTGTTAATTAGTCAATATGTATGCTATGTGCACATGAGTAGATTTCTTTGCTATATAGATAATGTTTATTGCAAATAATTTCAATAGAATTTATGTTTTTCAAATTGGCAGCGGGTTTTAGTCCCATAAGAAAAGTATAGGAAACCTACTGCGCTCCTCACTTCCCTCGGACCCCGATATATCTCTTAAGTTCATTCAAATAAATTCGTATTAAGTTGTATTCGTGCACTATCAGTGTTACCAGTTGTTTTTAAATAAACATACATTGCGCGAAGTTGCAATGGAAAATAGTAAAACAGATTGTTTTTGGTATAACTTAGGACGTGTTATTTTAGTTACCATATTTTTTTATGACTGTGGTCGAAGTTTATGTATAAACATTTTTTTTAAACAAACATTTAGTGACGTCATTTTATTTTCCTATTCTTCTCAGCAAACCCTTTCATTTGATACCCATATCATGGGGGTGCATAAAAAATAACTGGTCCGCCTTCTTTGGCAGTCCACCATATTGGATTTAGAATGACGTCACTTAGCTAACCATGCATTGCCATCCAAAATAAACATGTATGCAAAATTTCAGCCCAATCGGTTGGGGATAAGTGTTTTAAAATTCAGTTGCAAGATTTGACCCATATTAACAAGGCAAGTTAAATAAAAGCTTGTAAAAAAGCATTCTATTGTTTCTAAAAAAAATGATTTAATAAATATTAACTAAAATACATTACCTACTAATTGTAAATATTTATTTCAAGTCAGCTGTCACACAACGAAACTATTGAAAAATAATTTAGTGAAAAAATATATCTTTTTTTAAGACAACAACGTGTTATCTTAAAGTCATCATATTTTTTATGCCAATGAGGACGAATTAACTAATTGTAAATGAAACTAATTTGTTTTAAAATAATTATTTTTGTTTAAAAAACGAACATAAAAAATAAATAAAAATACTAATCTGATTTATATCAAATTTTATTTTAAATCGTTTCAAGTTTTTATAAACAATTGTGTTACTATATTTTTAAGCAGTGTATGTATTTAATTTGTGAATCTCAGTGATAATCTATGACATTAACTAGTTTAGCTGTACTATACTACTGCCCACTACGTACAGTAGATTTAGGATAATTAATGTATTTAAAGAAATATGGTATATTTCCACTTTTCTTTGTTATTCAACCACTTCAGCAGCGAATGAATCAATTTTAGACGTATTAAATTAATACCAAAATAAAATTAAACCGTGAACAGTTTAAATTTAAGCAGAATCCCATCATGTTTCGAACCCTGCCAAACGACAACGAAGGAAGGTTCAGTTGAAGTGCCAGATCTCCGCGTTTGGGAGGCGGCTACTGCAAATTGACTTAACACCTGGCGTGATATGACGGGATGGTAAACGGTTTTGTTACATTTTTATTTTAGTTTTCGACTTTATCGATTTACGAGAGGGTGTTCGTAAAATGTGTATGACTCCATAAAGTTATTTATTTCAGTGTTTCAGTGTGTTCAGTACATTCGATTTTTAATTTTCAAGTTTTTGTATGATATGTACTATGAAAAAGCAGAGATTATGGGAGCTCTGGACGCCAATACGTTAATGTTGGACGGGAACAAATTCGAAGAATGCGAAATTTGGAACCAGAAATTTTAAACGCCTTGGAAGAGGATTCTAATACCAGTGGTTGAATATTACCCATAAAATTTCAAGTATGTCATATGCTGTAAATATCAGGTGAATAAATAGATCATTTACTTATTTTTGTGTATTTCATTTATCATTATTGATTCCTGTTTCAGTTTTCTGTTAGATTACTTATTAAGTACTGTTCCATAGTTTATATTATTTAGCTTTTTAATATCCGTTCCTTTTAAGTTATGAGATTTGACAACAATGCATAGCCCAGTTCTCAATTGTGCATGCGCTGATACCAACCAGCGCTGTTGTGTAGGTCAAATTACCAAACAAATGTCGACAAAAAACTATTGATAGGTCAAAGGTAGTCTCTGTATAAATATTTCCCTACTCAAAGTTACCCGTATGTTACTTCAATGCATAAATCTTATTGATAATACAACAAAACCGTGTAACAAAATTTGTTTAATAATACAATGTTTTAGTTATTAATATTAAAGTAACCTAATAAAAAATTAGAAAATGTAACACAGATGTAAATGTTAATGTGATCAGCTTTGGATGGAACAAGTTAACATTAGTGAGCCGGACATAGTCTATTACATAGTTTGTAAATACTATGTAAATTAGTAAATTATATCAGAAATTAACGTTACAAAGTACTTCGCAATGCCTCTTTAATGGTAATACTATGTTTTCATGTTTAGTGTTATATACAGTTATGTCTTCTGCGGGTAGGTAAATGAGCATTTATAGAATCTGCGCAATATTTATCTTTTGAGTTGATTAGAAGTAAGTACATCGACGGAAAGGAATCTAGATTTGAATTTAAACAGATGCAGTTCTCTGAATTCTATAACTGCGAGAATAAACAAAAAATGTAAATTTAATAAAACTCGCGATAAATATTTATACAAACGATTCCCATGCGGCTAAATCAATCGAATTAGTTAAGCAAAGTTTTGCTACGTCGACACTGGAAAATTTCATGAAATCATAAAATGTTGGAAACGGATAGGTGTACTAATATAAAGCTAATTGAAGGTAAATCATGCTAATGCCTTGGTTATAGATCTCATGGAATGAGAAAATACCGAAGCAATTTGAATTAGCGATTAGTGTCCGGTCTCAAATTAAATTAGATTTTTTATGGATTCTTAGGGCCGGTACTTTCAGTCTAGATTAGATAAATATAAACCTCGGTTAAACTTTAACCCTTCGTTTCGGTTACATTCAAACACTGTCAACCATTAACCAGGAGTTAAAGTGGGCGTGTCCGTAGTTAAATTTAATCGGAGCATCTATCCGCGATTACCGCCTGATTAACGTGGTTTTGATACTTTTGACAGAACTGACGTTTTTAAATATAATGGATTTGAATGAATTAGAGGAGCTATTCGATGATAACGATGAAGAAATGATAAACTACGTGAATAATTTGCGTACATATGAAGTAAAAACACGCATTAACCATTTTGAAAAGTGTACAGAAGAACAATTTTTTAATAGATTTCGGTTTTCCAAAAACACTGTCAGGACAATCTTGCTTCCAGCAATAGAACCTATGTTGAAACGTGGCATTATATTGCAGTATGTATTGTTACAATATTATATCTTCACCTTTTATGTTTTATTTCAATTGTAGGTATCATGAAATCGATGCTATGGACCAGCTTTTACTTACTCTGAGATACTATGCTACTGGCAGCTTCTATATAACTGTAGGGGATTTTGTAGGAGTTTACAAGACAACTGCAGGTAGAATAATCAGAAGAGTTACAGAAGCACTGGTATCTTTACGCCCTAATTATATAAAATTTCCACGAAATGAGGACGAAATGAGAATAAAGAAGCAAGGTTTTTATCAATTGGCACGTTTTCCTCGAGTAGTAGGTGCAATTGATTGTACCCATATAAGAATACAATCTCCAGGTAATTTCGATATAAATTATACATATCCTAAGTTATATTTTAATAGTACTTTTATTTTATTTCAGGGGGAGATAATGCAGAGTTTTTTCGGAACAGAAAGAACTTCTTCTCCATTAATGTACAGGTAGTATCTGATAGCAATAACATGATAATGGACATAGTGGCAAGATGGCCAGGGTCAAGTCATGATAGTAATATCTTTCAAAATTCCATTATACGAAGAAGATTTGAAAATGGTGATTTTGGTAATGCTGTATTGTTAGGGGATAGTGGGTATCCACTACGTGACTATCTTATGACACCATTAGCAGAAGTTCATACACGAGCTGAACAAAAATATAATTCCTCACATATATCAACACGAACAGTTGTTGAGAGAACTTTTGGCATATGGAAGAGAAGATTTCCCATTTTAAGTTTAGGCATACGATGTTCTATTCCTCTAGCACAACAAATAATTATAGCTACGAGTATTTTACACAATATTGCAACACAAAACAGAGAAATACAAATACATGCTCCACATGAGGAAATTGAAGAAATTTTTGAAGAACCTCCTGCTCAACCACCACGAAGAAATTTTAATATAATTCAACAGCAATACTTAAATTATTTTGCAACACTACCTTAAGTTATTTATATTTGCTATTTTTCTTGTTAATTAAACCATTAGATGTATAATAAATATGTGTTTCTGTTTTTGTTTTATAAGTATTACTTTGTGGTTATCCAATCACTGTTATACATATTGTCTATGAAATAAGACGTCAATTTGAAAAATTTATTGACCAAAAATTAAATATGTATCTTATACCAGATTCGGTTTAAAAACGGCTAATAATAACGTGATGTAACCCTTAACATTACTATATTATAATTTACTTATCACAAAAGTAACACGTGATTTGTGTATAATTTATTATTAATGAGAATTAAGATAGCCCCAAACTTTGTTTAAGTTTCATATTCAGTTCGGATTTCAATATTTCTATTTTTATTTTTTGTTCTTCTTCTTGCAATCTGAATAGGGTCCTTAAGTAAAGTTTGTTCTCCTTTTTTTCTTGTTATCCATTTTATAGCTCAACACACACCGCAAAAGTAATTAAAAAATCGTAGATTTGACAAGGAATGTATGACACATGACATGCATCATAACATAAAATTTAAAATTTGTGTACGACGTACGTCTTTCCTACTATCCTAATTCAAACCCAGTTTACCTAACCTAGTGTTTGAAAAAACCGTAAAGTACCCAATATCCTTTAAACTTCAGTTAGTTTACTAGGATTAATTTATAGATCGATTAGTTAACGGTGTATTTAATCTAGACTGAAAGTACCGGCCCTTAGACGCGCTAATGGGGTGGCACATTTATTAAATACTTTTATTTATTTTAAATGTTAATAAAAGTTCCACTTGCGATCAATCAAAAACTCAAGGACTCTGTATCCTAGTATTGCGCAAAGCGTTTTTTTATTGGCATTCTGCTAGAAGAAATTTCTATTGTAGTATGTTTTATCGGCGAGTAAAGAATATATAAGTCTGCATTCTAAGTGGATGATGGATTTTATTAGATACATACGCAATAATTAGCTATTACTTTGTGTACTCAAGACCTAGGAATTCAGATAAAATTCTGAGATGAAGATTGTGTTTACTACAGAATCTAACGAATATGTATTCTCGATTAGCTCAAAACCTTTAGCGGTTTCTATACAGGGGCAATGACCTTCCACATAAAAATATGATTCAATTCAATGTATTTAGTGTAAAAAGTATAGTTTTATTATATAGGTACTAGTCATATGGGTCAATTCCTAAACTGCCCTCGAAGTTCAAAGCTGAGATTCACATTCTTATAGCTTGATCAAATTCTTTCACAAATACATACAGGGTGTAGGGGACCGCCTAGCCGGGTGTCTTGGCCGGCGGATTTCGATCTGCCGAGTCAAGCATCACGGACGTGGGCTGGAATTTGGATGGGTGACCTAAGGCAGGCTCGGGGACGTGGCTGGGGCAGCCTACCAAGAGACTTGGGTCGTCCAACATTTGCCGCACGCGTGTGGTCCCCGATAAATGGTAATGAGAGAAGAGCAAGAAATCTCTGCAACTCAAGACCATGCTATCATACATAAACTGTACGAGACTTTGCCACCAAGCCATCCGTGTAATAAATAAGATGGTTTGAGGAAAAGTATTCGAGTAATGAAGGAGGGTGTACAAGGAGCCTAATAAGGCCTAAGTGCCCTGGTGGAAGACAATTCCACCACCCCTCCGACATACATACATATATACATACATACAGGGTATCTGGTAAGTATATAGCCTACTCTCGGGAATGTACAGGGGAGGTCAAAATAACCCTAGTTTGTCATAAAAAAAATTCCTAAAGTGCCCCTTAACGGAGATACAAAGCCCCAAAGGGGTACTCAGCGATTTTCGATTCCGATTCTAACTTTTGAACCGACTTGTATAATTTAATGAAATTTTAATATTTTATGTAGACCACAAAGGCTCATAAAGCCATATTATAGTAGATGTTTTATACTGTCAGAGAAGTCAGGAACGGACTTGCCACCACACTCGTTGGGCCAAAATTTTGACAGGTGTCATTTTATAGAGCTGAAAACTGAATTTTGAAATACTTTGTTCATTCCTCTTTAAAAAAGGTACTCTACGTTTGTTTCCATAAAATTTGCCGTTTTCGAAAAAAATCAGTTTTTGTATATCACGTCATTGAAATAATAAATCAGAATTCTGCAATAAAGCACTAGTTGTTTTTATGTCGTTATTGACAACACTTGTAAACATTTTCTGATTGATTTGAGTACCGAAGACTAAATAATCGAGCATTATTCCTATAACGAATATGCTGACATGCATCTAATTTATGAACAAGCACTCGGCAATTGTGTTGAGACAAGAAGAATTTATTCTGATACATTTCCAAATCAACATTTATCGTAACGAACAATTTCTGAAAGGATTGATCGTAGCTTACGAGAAAGAGGTAAAGAGTCAAGTGAAATAAAAAAATGCGAAAAGTAGCTAATCTTTTGCTATACATTTTACGAAGTTTTTTGCCGCATCGTGGTAGTGAAGCGCCCCCAAGAAGAGGAAGGAACCTTCCGTTAGAGGAGTAATTTCTGGATGAGATTGCTGAAAATCCCTCCAATAGTGTAAGAAAGCTGTCGGTCCAAGTTCATGCGACAAAGTGGACCGTTCATGAAATCCTTCCAGAACAACTGCTACATCCTTATCACGTCCAAATACATGAATTGTCTCCCGCTGATTATCCTGCAAGAGTCAATTACGCAAATTGGTTTTTGCAACGATTTAGGCACCAACAAAGGCTCATTGTTAACGTATGGGCGGAGATTATTGGGATTCATCTTATTGGATCGTTGATCGTTCTTGTTTGAAGACATTAAATGGTGCCATGTATGTATGTATGTATGCCGGGGGCACTTGGGCCCCTTATACACCCCCCTTTCATTACTCGAGTACTTTTCTTCAAACCATCCTACACGGGTGGCTTGGTGGTAGAGTCTCGTACAATTTTTTTATATATGATATATTTGAGTTACAGAGATTTATTGCTCTATTCTCATTACCATTTTATCGGGGACTACACGCAGGTGTTGAGCGACCCAGGTTTCTGATAGGCTGCCACAGCCACGTCCCGAGCCTGTCTTAGGTCACCCATCCAAGTTCCAGCCTGCATCCGTGATGCTTACCCAGGCCGATCGAAATGCATCGGCCAAGACACCCGGCTAGGCGGTCCATATGGTGCCATGTATTTGCAATTCTTGTAACAAAGCTTAAATGATTTATTAGAAAATGTGCCCTTAGAAATTAGAAATCGGATGTAGTTTATGCATGACGTGCATTTTAGCAATTTAGTTCAGTCAGCACTCATCAAATACTTATGGTTATCAATAGATAGGTCGAGATGAGCCTATTTTATGGCTGCCGAAGTCGCCCGACATGACTCCATTGGATTTCTTTTTATGAGCCACTGGCAAAACTAAAAATTATGTTTTTCATTGCGAAACGTATCTTTAGCCGTTTGGCAACAACTAATAAATTTGATTTTTTTAAACCTATCTTGTACACCTTATATTTCTTTAACGAAGCATTTCTCGAATGTAGTGTATATAGCACTCATATTATTTTTTGAATCTCTATCGGTCCCGCATCGGAAACTGGGCCACCCTGTATATATTCCTATCTTTTGAAATCAGGATGTCCCACTACTTCTATTTTTTCAATTTTGTTCTGTTTGGTATATATCTATTTATAAATGTTAATATGACACAAATTAGCAGTAAGAAAATAAACTCTAGCAATAAGAAAATAAACACTTAGATTTCTTGCACCTTTTATCTGAAGAGGTAATTAAAAATTTTTTAAATTTATTTATAACGTAGATGATGCTTCTCAGGTCTTTCGAATACTTGTATGAGTAATTCTGTTATTTTATAAAAGATTAAAATATTACTAAACGTACAAGTTTTTTTTGAGCAGATTATAAGTAGGTAAATAACATGTTTTAAACAACTTGAATTTCATTTTTTTTTTAATTCTAAACAATAATTGATGGCTATTTGGCGCCATTCTGGAAAAATTAGTTTTTTTTACATATTTTATAAACGCTAGAATATATTAATTATTGAATTACGTTTTTATTTACTTAAATCTTCTGTGGCGAGCTGCGGGAAAGTTAAGCTTGAAAATTTAATTTATTTTTTTTTGTGCGCCTGAAATAAAAATAACGCGATATTATCATCGTAACGCAGTAGTGAATATTATATTATTGTTGTTGTCGTGTCAGTCGTGACACCTCTATCAGAGACATTGTTAAACGCTTGAGAATTCGTGCTCAATATAGCAGTTAAAAGTAATCTCATTATTGTTTTATGCAGGATGGAAGCCTCCATCAAGGCCTCGTAAAAAATAATGCCAACTGATCCGTCGAGCGTTCACAATTAGGTTTCTTCCATTACCTTTTTTCCGGCAATCTAATTGGTTTGCGATATTCTTGTTAGTCTGCATTTCCTTGTCACAAGTTTGCATTTACACTGAGGGAAATGTCTTTTGACCATAAGTAGAAATTGTTTAATCCTAACAAAATATCTGCAACAAATAGGCTCCAAAAAGGTTACGCTGTCATAATAAAAAACATTTTGCTAAAGGAGCCTTCTAGCTGTTAAAAAGTTAAAAAGTTATTGTGGTGTAGTACAATTTTTTATCTTAGTAAAAGTTCTCGCGGTTGCCAGATTGTCTAGCAAATATATTTTTTATTTCAAATAAGTCACTTTTTTGCCATAACTATGTGTAGTTAGTTAGATTCAATTATTAACCTTGTCGTTAAACTTTCTCATCCTATTTTAAAAGTTCCAGTAAAAATCAAAATATCTGTAGTCTCACCATCCCTCACTTTTTATTCTGTAAGCCAAAGTTGATACTAGACATCGGAAATTTTAG